GAACACGATTTACATACACTACAAAAATTTATATACTTGCTGATACTTTCCAGTATTTCTTTTCTCAAAAAAAAAATATTCTAATCTCGATGTACTAAATCAAAGGTTTTCCAACTAAAGCAACAAGTACTGACTATAGGTCCCATTAGGATATCTCTTCGCGAATCCTTGCATCCTTTCAATTTTCTTCTTCTCACACACAGACATTAACCACTCTGAACCTCCGTATGGATCGAGTCGGTGATGAAGGAGCGCAACGTCTTGCCGCAGCTCTCGAGCAAAATCCAGTAAGATGTCTACCTTCTCTATACACCGAAAAAAAGGTGCCATACGGAACCAATGGGAGTTTTGTGCTTCCTACAAAATCTAAGAAGGTTTTGATTTTTGCATCAAAACGGTTCGATATGGCACCTGTTTTTTTTTCAGTGTACCTACCATTCACTATCGGTTCAAAACAGACATTAATTACACTGAACCTCAGTAGCAATCAAATTGGTTATCAAGGAGCAAAACATCTTGCCAAAGCTCTCCAACAAAACCAAGTAATATATCAACCTTCTTTATCTATCATTCATCGTCGATTCAAAACAGACACTAACCTCACTGGACCTCAAATATAATGCAATCGGTGATCAAGGAGCACAACATTTTGCCCAAGCTCTCGAACAAAACCAAGTAAGATGTTCACCTTCTCTATCTATCACTCGCTGCCTGTTCAAAACAGACACTAATCAAATTGAACCTTGGTAGTAATCAAATTAGTGATCGAGGAGCACAACATTTTGGCAAAGCTCTTGAACAAAACCAAGTAATATTTCCATCTTCTCTATCTATCATCCACTGCCTGTCCAAAACAGACACTGACTACACTAAACCTTTTTTTCAATCGAATCGGCCCTCGAGGAGCGCAACATCTTGCCAAAGCTCTCGAACAAAACCAAGTAATATTCCTATCTTCTCTATCGATGATTCACTGCCTATTCAAAACAGACACTAACCACAGTCGACCTGAGTTGGAATAAAATCAGTGATTACGGAGCAGAACGTCTTGGCAAAACTCTCAAACAAAACCAAGTAATATTTCGACTAGGGGTGACACTTTAACTTTATTTCAAAAAACTGATTTCAGATTCGGATTCTTCGACTCCAAAAACCTTCGATCAAACTTTATAGAAAGCCGCTTTTTTCTAAAAAAAAAGTTCTTCTTTCGTGAAAAATCTCTACTTTAATTTTAACTTTAAAGTAAAGTTAAAGTGTCACTCCTAATCCCAACCTTCTCCATCTATCCTTCTTTTTTTGTTCAAAACAGACACTAATCACACTGAACCTCAGGTACACTGGCATCGGTAATAACGGTGCACAACTTCTTGCCAAAGCTCTCGAACAAAACCAAGTAAGATCTTCACCTTCTATCTATCATTCATTGATTGTTCAAAGTAGACATTAACCACACTGGACCTCAGTATAAATCGAATCGGTTCTGAAGGGGCACAACATCTTGGCAAAGCTCTAGAACAAAACCAAGTAATATCTCTACCTTCTCTATCTATCATACACTGTCTATTCAAAACAGACACTAACCACACTGGATCTCAGTGGTAATGAAATCAGCAATCTAGGAGTACAACATCTTGCCAAATCTCTTGAACAAAACCAAGTAATTTCACTACCTTCTCTATCTATTATTTACTCTCTGTTCAAAATAGACATTAATCACACTAAATCTAAGAGGGAATGCAGCCGTTTCTGAAGGAACGCAACATCTTGTCCATGTTCTACAAGACAAGCGAATACAGTTTCAATTTCTCTGAATGATCTGAACTACTCCTAAACTGACACCCTAATATTGGACTTGAGAATGCTGGTGTGAGTGAGATTCTTAGGGATGTGTGTGTCTTCTCATCATCCTCACTCATCCTTGTTTCCGAGCGATAGTGTCGATGAATTTTGATTCTGCTATTTTTTCAACTATGTTGTTTTTTATCTTTTCTCGTTTTTGTTTTCTTATGATGGGATTTGAAACATAAATACGTTGTTTGCTTCTTATTATCAATTAACACAGCGTTAGTCAAATGTGCCATAAGTATTGCTACAAATAGCCATCGTTCGACTGCCGAGAGAACGTTTTCAACTGTCAAATTGCTTTTTGTTCGAGTATATATTCAAACAATAGACCTTAATGAGTCATTAAAAATCCTATAAGGATTTGGTTTTCCAAGTCTTCTGAGCAGCGATATACAATTATTACTACTACTAGTTTTGTCGTACCATTCTATTAATATTTTCAACATCTTGACTAAATATGCTTCGGACTCTTTCATATTTATATCAATACTAAGGCATTCAGTATTGATTAAGATTCTAGAGTTTGAAGATAAATCAATGTTTCTTATCGAAAATATGAATTTGTTTGACATATCGATTGATTATTAAAAAAACAAGATGTGTTCTTACTCAAAGATGTAAGTATTGATTTGTCTGATATTTTCAGTACATATTCATTTCATAGTCATCATGTATGTGGAAATATCAGCTCATTTGTTAGTACTTTAGTTAATAAGAATAAGAAGAATGATTCCATGCACTTTCCATCATATTATCTATTTTCAGTAACATGTTTATAAATCGAACTAGAATAAACAAAATTCAAGAAAGTGGAATGAATCATTTAAGCAGTGGTAATGGTAGTTGTTGAAAAACTGTTCTATATATAATATATGACCACAATATCTGCATCGAATGAATGAACATGATGAACAACTATGCACATGACATTGTAAATTATCAAATCCGAAATAAACTTCAGTGGCAGTCATGAATGCACTTGGATGTGTATCAAGATATCTAGCTTTAAACCGCTCATATTCAATTAGAGCGATAAAGATAAGCGATGATAAGTGATTATGAATAAGCGACTTTAGTTTAAGCATATTGTTGCGTTTCGTGACATCTGTGTTCATATTATCAAGAAGAATTCGATCATATAGACGATGAGCACTGATTTTCTATTGCTGATCGAAAAATACGTCGAGTAGTTGAATCTTTGACGTGATTTTGAATGGAATTTGAAGACGCTTCCTCTAGATCCTCTTTCTTTCATTTTATATGTCATTCTCTTTTCGACCGCATTAGTACACAATTATCTCTTTTTGCCGATTTTGCCCATCACCTATTCTATGCACATGACGTATTCAAACAAAACTAGATATTATTTCGGTCAGTGAAATATGCATGCAATATATTGACATCTTTAATAAAACTAAGTTTAGTATATCAACATCCTATGTTCCATAGTGAAAAGTATGTGAAATCACTCTTCTTATTCTTATTAACTAAAGCACCGACAAATGAGCTGACATTTCTACATACATGATAACTATGAAATGAATACGTACTGAAAATATCAGACAAATCAATACTTACATTTTTGAGTAAGAACACCTTGTTTTTTAATAATCAATTGATATGTCAAACAAATTCATATTTTCGATAAGAAACATTGATTTATCTTCAAACTCTAGAATCTTAATCAGTACTAAGTGACTTAGTATTGATATAAATATGAGAGATCGAAGCATATTTAGTGAAGATTTCAAATATATTAGTAGAATAGTACAACAAAACTAGTACTAATCTGCCGAAAGTAACTCGTAAACCAGTAATCAGAATTCCGATAGTTGGGTTCCACTGGATGCCAATAAATTCTCACAAGATGCTATTGGTTTTCGTCAGATTTCGACAAAATGCGATGAACTCTAGATCAGAATCCTAGTCACTAGATTGTTTGATTTAGGTATATAGTCAACATCAAGCATTGTCATTATTCTATATGCTTTTGATTTATTACTTGACATAGCATTTCCAATCAATGCAATATGACTAGGGTATGAGTAAGCAAGTGAATATTATTTTCTTCATCTACACCTGCTGATATCTCTTAGTGGTGAACATTTTCGTACTATTGAATCATTGTATTCAATTTTTTTATATTGAAAATTTTGGTTTCTCGGTAATTATGTAATTTCAATTTTTCTTCACGAAGAGAAAAAGTCGGTGCTGATTTGATCATCATACTGCAGTAATTTCAAATCTTTCAACAGAAGTTTTATAATTGAAAAGCATTGTATCACATGCAAATAAACGTTTCGTGTTACTAATGATTTTCCGGCTTGTTTTTTTTATTTGTGTGTGTCAGAAAACTTCATTCAAGGAGTTAAAAAAGACACTCACACACAGATACAGAAAGAAAAAAAAGAAAGAAGAGAAAATACAAACAATTGTTTGAGAAAAGAAGAGCGATAACAAAAAAACGAGATCGAGCGGACAAGTGAAAAAGAACATATGTGTATTTAAGCTTATTAAAAGGAACAGAAAAGAACTTCACATTACACAATGTCCTTTATAACGTGTAGATTCCAATTTTTTTTGAATACAAAAATGAAAAAGATAGAATAATAAAAGAAAAGTAAAAAACAATTAACTTTCTTTGTTTAGGTCATCATACTAGTTGACAGATCACAAAAGAACTCGATGACTATTGCTTCTTAGGTGAGAGAAAAAAAGGCATTTAAGCCGAGATTCGATTACTCGAATTTTCTTTCACGAATATTATGTTTTAACTGTCACTGTTACCATAGATAGACATGAGAAAAATTAAAGCACGATTAACTGTACATATTAAAAGTATGAAAACGAAAGAAATTAGTGCTCAAAAAAACAAAAAAAAAAAAAAGAAAAGATAAACAGCACCAAAGCAAATCAACTTGCGCATCTTTAACAGTCTCCTTTTTTTGTTTCAAACAAGACCCATTGAGTATAATGTGCATTAAGAACAAGAAAAAAAAGAAAGAGTAAGTCTATTTTGCTAGTAAAAAATATATGAAGAAAAAAAAACTCTTGAATTTGTATAAAAAAAAAAAGAAACAGAAGATAAAAAAAAGAACCGAGATGGGATATATCTCGGAAGGTAAGCACAGATGAGAATAATCGGAGACAGAAAATCACAGTAATTCGTACTGTCTCAAGTGTATGCGTTGAATGATATCGCGACAATCATTGAATACTCGACGAATGTTTTCTGTATCAACAGCACATGTAAAATGTGGATAACAAGAATGACGATTGTTACCACCAGCTGTACTAATTCGCTAAACAAAAAAAAAAAAAATGAAATAACACAAAGAAATATTCATTTAATTTTTTTATTTACTAAAAATTCATCACGTATGAAATATTTAGCTCGAGTTACTTCTGGATCTTCATTTGGTTCGGATTTCTCTAAAATCAAAAAATCATCAATGAATATTGATATTAAATTAAAAACAAAATCAAATCGGAAGAAAAAAAGAGAAAATTATCAATTTTGATTAATTCAAAACACACAAAGGATAACAAAAACAAAAATGTGCTTTGAGTTTTGCTTACTATATTTCAAAAAAGAAGAATCTGTGAAAAATAAATAGATAAAAAAATTCCCTATTATAATATAGATTATTTCTATTCACCTAATTCAACATGTGAAACAACATAATGTGCAAATTCAGGAAAATTATCTTCAAGTCGATGGCCAGCTTTGATTTTGTCTGCTAAAAGATCTTGCTTATTAAGAAATAAAATAACCGAAATTGTTTTTAACCATCTAAATCAACAGAAAAGATAAAATATATAATTATTATTTTTTTCTTAAATAAATTTTCTACCGATTATTCCAAATATTTTTAAATAAGTCAAGTGATTCTCTCAATTGATTTTGATTTTCATCTTCAGTAAGTACCAAATTAAAACCACTACACGCTGTAACAAATATTATGGCTGTAACATCATTAAAGCATTGAATCCATTTTCGACGTTCTTCTCGTTGTCCACCAACATCAAACATACTATATAGATATATTTCATTAATTATTCAAATATTAATAAATACATACTGGAAGCGTACACGGTCAACAGTAAAAATTGTTTCATAAATGCCAGATGTAAGAACGCGACAACGAAGAATGTCCTTTAAAAAAAAATATCATATATAATCAATAGTTTACGATTTTCATATTCATATATATATTGTTTTTTTTTGACGAAATAGTCTATAAGCTGCTAACAAAGAAAACCAATCAAACTGATATCTACTATTTGAGTTTATCTTGTACTTAGAAGAACGATTTGGTAAGACTAGTAAAAGTCTAAAACAGTTCGTCATCATGTTGAGTTAGGATCGTTTTACTGAATTTTTGATCTACCTGTAGGTACATCAAAGAACAATGCTTCGATGTGAAATTTTGTCCATAGATAGATCAAATGACTCGTAAATTACCCTGAAAGTTTCAGTGGAAAAGAATATTTCGTTCTGAAGATACTGAATTTTCAAAAATTAAATGTTTGCCATAGACATGATACAAAGATTTTGTTTACTTGAAAATTCGATATCTCGATCAAGGAATATTTTTGATGGTTGAAACTTTCAGGATATTCTAAAGACCATTAAATCTATCTAAGGAGATAATTTCACATCGAAATATTGTCCTTTGATGTACTTATAGTTGAATCGAAAATTCAGTAAAATAATCATAACTTTGCTCGAAAGACCAATAGGACGAACCGTTTTTGATTTTCGCTAGTCTCACCAAGACAGATTGAAGCACGCCTGAGTAGACCAGACTAAATAGGATTGGATCGATCGGTCTGAAATCTATGTCAACATAGGATTGACAAGTTGTTGCACTATTCTACCTGAGGATAGTCATATTTTCCATAGCCAACTTTCAAAAAAATTTCATTACAGATTCTCTATGAGCTACTAAAAGTAACAAAATTAATAAAATGTATCGTCAGACTAGCCAGTCTGAAATTCGAACTGGTATCGGTTCCATCTCTGCACCAAGATATTCTAGTAATCTGAATATAAGCTCAAATCATAGATATCAGTTCGGATGGTTTCCATTAAAGTTTTTTGACAAAAAATAAAGAATCATTTTATGATTACACCTGCAGTGACGACAGCAACGATACGTATGATTTTGATGACGTTAACGTTTTGCGTATTTCATAATGTCGTTATTATATAAAGGAAAGAATGAATAATACATTCGTATTATCTTTTCTTGACCCTAATTGTCATTATTCACTTAAGTGTCGATTCGTTTCAATCTATTTGCAAATCGATTACATCGATTATTGTGCTTTTTTTTTCCATTATGATAAACTATTCTGTATATGCCACATATAGTGACATATGTCTTTTTTTCTGTCTATTTCGATTCAAAAAAAAATTTAATTTGAAAGTAAATTTAAGACAGAAAATCCATCAATTATTCTTCTTTTCAAGAGAAAAACAAATGCTCAAAATTAACAAACATCTAACGACAAACCAACAGTTGATGTTTATGAAATTTTTCATACTCATGAAAATCATACAGATCATTTTTTGGCACTACTGTATATTCTAAATATATAGATTTGATCATGATTTCAATCAGAAACTGTGTGTTGTAAAGTTTCGAAGAAATCGAAATTAGAAAAACAAATACTAAAGAATTTCGTCCGAAGTACAATTATTTCTTAGAGAGTCTTTTGTGTGTATATTACAATCTTCATAGTAGTTCTGATTTATTCAAGTTTTGTTAAATAATTTTGATTTCTGATGGTCTTTCAGAAAAAGAGTTGAAAATAAAAAATTTCGAATTATTCATCAATATTAAAACAAATAAGAATGATTACGAAAATATCAGAAATTTCAATATCCACCACTGCGATATATATACATCTAAAACATCATTTGTATCCTATAAATAATATGTTTTAATTCTACGAGATAGATCTGAACAAGTACGAGTTGTCTTGAATACGAATACTCATTGTTCGCACCATGAGTATGCACTTGTACTTGCCCAGCTCTACTACAAAAGCCAAGATTGACAATATTTAATATCCTATGTTTCTATCCTATTGAAAGTTAAATATAATGAGGGGTAGTAGATTTACCATCTTATTCGATGGTGTCCTTTGAATACAAAAACTTTAATTGTATTACAAGATCTATGCGTGAGATATCTAGACAAAATTATTTTGAAAAAGAAAAATAATCAAATGTTGTTGCATTCTATCTCATCGAGAGTTTCGTAATCACATAAATTTCAAAAAAAAAATTTTCTTTTCTGTTCTACATCAAACTCTTTGATGAATCATTTGATCGTATTGAATGATAAATTCCATAAAAACAAAATCTTAATGATTCATACATACTTGATCATTGGGCATGTAATTTGGTTTTTTGATTTCATTAACACGATCAAGAAAACTATAATATTTTTAAAGAAAAGAAAAAAAAATAAAATCTCTTTCAAAACTATAAATCACAGACTATTTAGCGGAATCAATCAATTGATACTCAATTGATCTTTGAAAACATTCTTGTACACCAGCATCACGCCATAGTATTTCCACATGCTCAAAAAATTCTGAGGGATATTCAAAATCTAATTGATGTGCTGTTGTTAATATATATGTAGCACGTGATTGATTTTCTGGATGTTCTAAACGCACAGGTGGATTTATCATATCAAGAGCACGCAGAATACTCTATATAATATAAAAATCATATGGAAAAAAATTCATATAAAATTAAACATACAGTTAATGAGTCCCTTATGTTACGTTTAATATCAGGAATTTTATCGACTTTTTCTCTACAAATAAAACTCAATTAAATCAAAAAAATAAATAAATAAAATTAAAATCATACTGTGTGGTAAATGGATTATGTAAAATTTTCATTTGTTTAACAACTGTTGATTTTCCTGATTCACCAGCGCCTTTTGAAAATGAATCAAAAAGAAAAAAGTTAAATGAACAAAACAAACAAAAAACAAAAAAAAAACAAACCTAAGAGAAGTAATCGATAAGTAGCCTTATAAATTTTTTCATCATGTTTCAATTTTGCATTGATTTGTTTATTAATATGCTCACGTTTTTTTTCTTCATCATTTTTTGGAGCAATACAACTCCAAAGTTTCGACATTTTTTTCTTTTTAACTATACCGTTTGTTGTTCTATTATCGTTTTCGAATGAATAATTCGTCATTTATACCCATACATATATGGATAAGAAAAGTGCGCGAACTTTTTTTAATGAAATAAATTTATAAAATAAGATATTTATATATGATCTATAATGAAAAATATAGAAAGTATAATGATTATTAAATGATTTTTATTCCAAGTACACACGACGGTATGTGTATGTACGAAAAACGAAAATTTATGACAAGAAGTTAACAATATTCGAAATAAATCATTAAACATCTATGCACTTTGTAGTGATCGAAAAGATAAAACTAAGAAAAACTATTTTAGAAAAAATCTTATAAAAACTACAATATAAAATCGAGTTAATGTTTTTATTTTTATTATTTTTATCATTATCATTAATTTATAATGAACTTAAAAGATAAATATATTATTAGTTAATACAATTAACCAATCAGAATAAAAATAAAGTATCTTTTACAATTATTAATCAAATCTAATCTCAATTAAAGATTATAATCTTTCGATAATTTTGAAAATTTTATATAGATTTCATGAAATTATATGAAGAATTCCTATTTACTTTCTTAATAAAATTTACAATGAAATAATTCATTCTACTAACATTTGAATAAATAGAACTTTTTCTACTCTTAAATGTTATGTCCACACTTATGATAAAAGTTTTTATTCTCGTTAGATGCCTACAGTCAAACTACTTGATGTTTTACTAAGGACTAATTTTATTCATAAAAAAAAAAATATCGTTCTTTTCGAAAGAAATCTATTTTTTGATAATTATGCTTTTTTTTTTGTATATAATCGCCTTCGGTAATCAAGGATTAAACATATCCTTGAATGACTATGTAAACGAATACTATGCAATGAATATATCACATTTGAGTTTTATACAAATTTGTACAGAAATCTGTCGGATTCTGAATTTCTAGAGAAGAATTACTGAAATTTTAATTTTTTTTTTTGTAATACCTCATCGAATTTATTCGATAATTTTGATATGGAATAAAAATATGTTGAAATATTTCATGGACAGTTTCGTTTTCTTTATTAAAATCAATGTTAAGTAGTAATAGAATAATAAAATGTTTATAATTGACGATACTATACTATAATAGGCATCCATGAAAGAAAGAAAAATATTTTGATAGTACGAAAGTCTAATATAGATTTCTATCAGGTAACATTAATGACTTTCTAATGTATGTAAGATGGTTTTAAATAACATCCATTGAATCAGATATTAGTGACGTAAGTTGAGTAATACATACTCCTACGAAGCAAAAAGATCTTAAAATAGAAAATAGGATAAGTTGACTCAGTTAAAACCGTAAACAGTAATTTAACTTTTGATAATAGACAAGTAAATCTATAGTTGTTCATATAAAGAATAAATTATATTAAGTTTTCAATAAATCATATCTCAAACTGATATTTTAACTAATTAATTAATCATCATGGAAAAATCATTTTGAAAGACTAAACCTAAGTATCTTTGACATTTCATATAAAGTACAAATCCTGATTTACCTGAATAATCAGCTGGCAATCTCAAAAAAGAAAATTCTCAACTGTCAAAACCATTCTCATTTAAAACTCTACCATTCGATCGGTCATGATGAAGTAGAAAAAGAATCTATTTTAATTTGGTTTTCCAATCTTGGCTTATCGAGTTATTAGCGTTTTACTCGATTTTTTCTTCTATGAGTATAGAATCGCTGTGAATCTAACTGATCGAATATTGAATTAAAATTTAGTCCATAGATAGACCTTCTAATTACTAGAAACTTTTCAAAGATTGAACTAGGACGAATATATCCTAAACCAGATATTCGTTTGTCAAACAAATTTCAAAAACAGACATGTTTCTTTAACATTTAAATATCTTGAGAAGGATGCGTTCATTTCGATTCAAAACTTTAAAAAGTTTCTAATGATTAGAAAGCCTATCTATAGAGTAAATTTCAACTAAAAATTTGATCAATCAGATCTCCAGTGAATCTATGCTCTTATCGTATAAAACACCCATAAATCGACAAGTCAAGATCATGAAAACCAAACCAAAACGGAGTGTTTTTTTTTTATCAGTCACGTTAACCGATTGAATGGCAATAGTTTCAAGTAAGAAGTGGTTTGAGAGTTCGGAACATTCTGTCGACAGACAAACAACTGCTTCATCATTTGGTGATCTATGAGAAAATGATTGATGATGTATAATTAATATCACTAAATATAGACACAACTTCTATATTTTCTATAAATAAACTCAACCATCTTTCCGATATAGTTGATTTAAAATTATTGAAATTCATCGAGTATTTTCAAGAAAAATTAGCCGTCGATCGAAAAAATTACTAAAATAGTCGCAATTACTATTTCATTCTTTGTAACATTTCGTATACACAGAGTGTTAAATAGTAATTTTCGACGAAATATCCTACGATGTAATGTGTTTCGATGAATAATCATTTAATCAACAGTTTTCTACTCATTTCTTTGTATGATTGATTTAATTTTTTTTTTCTCTTATAGTCATGACATTAAACAGATGGCCTAACATTTTTTTTTTTTGATCGAACAAATCGATAAATTAATTATTCATAATATTACTTAGATGATCAAAGTTATAGTTCTACTCGTTGACTGTAGAACTCTTGTATTTCTCCGTAAATCTTTTTCTTTTTGTCCATGATTCTCACAGATCAAGTGATTTACGATGTATGATAAGCGAATCCAATAATACTTTTTTTTTCCCTCTTTCTCTCTCTCTCTTTCATTTTGTAGAAATATTCAATCAATGAAAAATCTTAATTTGAATATTCTTTTTAAGATAACAAAAAAGAAAATAATATGAAATTATTTAAATTAACATAATTATAATTGAAAAACAATTTTTATCGATAACAAAACAAAACACATTTTTCTTTCTTTTTTTTTTTTCTATAGAGAATAAATCTGATTGGTTTAAAATTTCGATCAATAAAATATTATCCATTCCATATTTTAACCAATTCGTTCTTTCTTCTAGTTTGTTTTTTGTCTCATTTCACAAAAAATCTAGTCATTTATGAAATAAACGTTTTTCCTTTTTTTTTTTTTTGTGTTCATTAATCAATGTCAAAATATGCAAATACAATAAATTCATTTTGTACAAAATCTGAAAAATATACAAATGAAATAATCTTAGAAAATTTTGGTTTACTTCGTCGTATGTATTCAAATTATTTAACAACAGAAATTTATCAACATTGGAATTGGTCATGGTCTTATATAATTCAACCAACATATCAAGAATCAAAATTTCGTATTGTTGTACAATTTAATAATTTACCATTAACACCTGGACATTTACTTGCATTTAAAGCTATTGTATTTAAAAAACATAGTCAGATAACAAAATCAAGTGAATGTATTTGTTTAAAAGAACATTTATGGTTAACTGATAATTTAAATATTCTTGAATTATGTTCACTTGATGAATTGAATCAATTTATTTATAAAGATACTTTACGTATTATGGTTATTGTCAGGTAAGATTGATAATAAAAACAAAAATCATCTTTTTTTAACTTTTTTTCTATTGTGACTAAGCTTTTATTAGAGAAAAATAAAAAATTTCCTTTCAGTATTAGAAAAATATTTTTATAAGCCCTGAATATTCAAGTTATAGTTTCGAAAGCAAAACCTATAGATAAATTCGAAGGAGGGACGACGTTTGCTTGTAATAAAGTATAGAGTTAAACTAATCTTCAATTCTGTGAATGATAAATTGTACTGTAATGATCATGAAATAAATAAAAGCGAAATGTGTAGAATGCGCTAGTCAATGAATGCAAAAAAAAGTATCTCTTATCTTCAGAGAGACTATCCAAATATCAAAGTACGATTTGGCCGGGTCGAAAAAATTTAAATTTCAATCCAATGGTTATAAACTTAAAATGGAGGACTAAGAGATCACATCCTTTTGAATTTATTATTATCTACCTCGTGTATAAAGTTCGAGCTCATAAACAATTAATCAGTTAGAACTAGACAAATTCGGAATCATGAGAAAAAAATTTGCACGGTTGGAACTCAAGTTTACAGTAAAATATTCTATGATTGTAAGGAAATTATCTTATAAATCATAATATAATTCAAGAGAAATAACCCAAAAAACTATTAGTGATCGACTAAATAAATTAAAACGACGAGTATTGAAGAGTTGTTTTAGATGTGAATACGAGTAGTTTTCTCTAGACTGGAAGCGGGACATAAAAACTTGTTTCCGCATATCTCTAACTAAAATGTTTCTCTCGTAAAAATTTCTTTTAATTTACATCTTCGGCCATGATAAATGGCACACCAAGTTTATTCGATTTAGCATCCGATAAATTGAAGATAAGTGATTAAATGTGCTAAGGGGAAATATGAAAGAATGCTTTGAGTATCCAATCTTACATCGAAAAAAACACTTGTTTTGTATACTAGATGATGAATGTCATAGAGAATAGGTTATTTTAATAGTCTTTCGAAATATTTTGATCATGATTAAGATATTGTTGATTAATCAACTGTTAAAAGACATTCACTAGTGCCGTAAAAAGAAAAATTTTGAATAAAATCTCTGGCATATTTTTCTACTGACGAGAAATCGTTTTCAACTAATCAATTACTTTTAAATTTGAACTCAATGCATGAGGTAGATTCTAGTGACATGTGGAAAATTTCGAAAGGATAATTCTCTTTAGGCTATTTGCCCAGCGTTATAGACATTCTTTGGCATGGTCAATACCAACAAATCGAATGACGGTATTTCAATTTAAAAGAATATTTCCATCTAGAGATATCAAAATCACTCATTCCACGAAAGATACTAGAATTTTCTGTTTTTCGAGAAGGAAATATTCTTTTGAGCTAGAATTTTCAAGATATACTGTCGCTCGATTTGATGGTATATACCAAAAATAATTAATATTGAATTAATTTTTTTTTTGTTCTTCATTTACTAGACATGATTGGCTTGTTAAAAAATTACAAATCGATCAACAAATATTAACAATTAATTCAAATGAATATATGTCAGATAATAGAATAAATAATTGTGAAAAAAAATTTTTAAATGATATGAAATCAATAGTAAATCATATTGAAACAAGTGATATTATTATACGAAATCATAATCAAATATATAAATGTCATCGTGTTATATTATCAGCACGTTCATCTTATTTTCAAACATTATTTAATTCAAATTTTAATGAAAAATTTCAAAATGAAATTGATCTTAGTTCATTTCTTCGTAATGAAAATGATTTTGATCTTTTATATTCATATATATATAAAGGTGAAATTAATTTAACATTAAATAATATATTACAATATATTGAATTAAGTGATAAATTTCTTTTGGATGATTTATATGAATTATGTGAACAATATTTATTAAATAATAATCATATTAATGAAACAAATGTTTGGAATATTCTTGATATATATAATACAATTGGACGTAAAATATCTTCAAATATTCAAGAAAAATGTTTTTTTATACTTAAAAATAATCGACATTTAATTAATGAACAATGTCATGATTTACTTAAAAGACATCCACATTTATCTATTGAACTTGTTAAATATTTTGTATAGAAATTATTTTTCTTTCTTTCTTGTTTGTTTTTTTTTTGTTTGTTTCAGATATAAAAAAAAAAAGAAAAAGAAAAAATGTCTGATGATGAAGGTATGGATGGTAATGATGATTTTGAACTTGATTATGAAAATACAGATGAAGAACCAGATGCTGATCTTGAAAATCAATATTATAATTCAAAAGCTTTAAAAGAAGATGATCCATTTGCTGCAATTGAAAGTTTTAAAAAAGTTTTAGCATTAGAACAAAAAAGTGGTGAAAAAGGTGATTGGGGTTTTAAAGCACTTAAACAAATGATGAAAATTTATTTTAAAATGGAGAATTATGATGAAATGTTAGCATGTTACAAAGAATTGTAAGTTAAATTATATAGAAGTAGAAAATTGAGAGTCTACATTTTTCGTAAATCCGAACCCGAGAAAAGCTAAACTTTTAAATTAATTGATAAACAAAATCAAGCAAGAATATGTTCTATGCAATGAATGCGTAGGGAACTGTGGATTCTTGAAGAATCCGCAATTCCCTAAATAGAAATTTTTACTTAAAGGAAACAATATAAATCAAGTCAAAAAGTATGTAGAGATGACTTTAAAATAGTTTTTTGACTTGAAATGTATTGTTGATCTCTCCGATCGGCGATGTTTTATCTTCTATGAAATACGATCTAAAAGAAGTTTTGAAGTATAACGGCAAAAATTTGCATCCTTTCCGTGTGACAGACTGTATATGGTAACGTCCCGTTATCATATATAAACTACGTAGCTACATTGTGTTTCAGATTTTAATTTCTGCAGAGATTATCTTAACAGCTTTTTTATCTTTTCTCTAGTTAATTCATTACAATATTTATATAATAATACAATTTGTATTGTTTTTTTCTCTGATATGCATTGAATTTTTGTAAATATATATATATATATATATATCAATTACAGGCGTGACTGATCGATTGCGAGTGGAGTTAACTGCAACTGATGCATATCTAAAAAATTTTTTAATGCTATTCTATTAATTAGCAGAAGTAATATTACTTATGTTGACAAACTCTAGAATGTTCTTGGTTAAGAAAATTAGTCTATCATTTTGTACATGCGTAGAGTTGTTTATAGAATCTGATTAAGATCTATTTTTGATAATAGCATATAGTAGTTGCTGAATATTTCGTATTTTTGCCATCAATCTATCTAATGATTAACATAGTTTGATGTTGTCTATTTTCTAACATGGTTATGTTATTGATATAATGGCCTTGTATAAGTCCGATGAATGAGAAATGTACTTGACAGTTTTGCTAATAAATATAAATGAAAGACGTTACATTGTGATAATCGTCAAATATGAAAAGTACTCCTATAGCTCAACTTTTGATATATATTCTTCTTAAATTAGATTCATTTCATTGATATGATACTGAGAAATTCTTATACATATCAAACAGAACAAGAAAGAACAGTGTTTTTTTTTCCAAGTATGAGGACCGAGAACATAAAACCTCGCCAAAGATCGAGTTAACCCTTTCGGGCATTAGTAGTTATTGCGCAGTATATTATATTTCTGTACTTCTAAAAATAGATACATTGTCCCCTTGGATGTTTCAATCGTCTCTTCGGAAGAAAGAATATAGATCTATATTGGTGATATTAGAAAGTAGAAATCTCAGACTAAATGATGAACAGTTAAAAGAGGAAGAGCTATATATCTTTGCAAGAACATCTATTGTGAAAATAATCAATTATTAAACTCCAGAGATGAAATATACGATTAACTCTTTGGCTATAGCATTTAGAATCTTTTTTTGAAGATACAAAAATAAAATTGTCTGAATTGGAATTAATGTTTTTAGTTTAATATTTTTACTTCGATAGTCTTTTAAATTATACCACGCAAAAAAAGAATTCTTCAATTGTTTTCTATAGAAGCCCAAAATTAGCATTCGAAAAATTACATTCCCCAAAATTAACATTAGATTAGATTTACTGAAAAAGAAATGAACTGAAATCGAGATTCAGAAACATACGCTTCACATATCTCTAATGATGATGTCAGAACTACAGTAAGATGTTTGTAAGCTCAATAACTCGATGATGGAAACAGTTGGCGACGTGCGATTTTCAATAATCGAAAGAGGAGAACACTAAACATCTTTTTCTTCTAGTATTAAAATTATTTTACAACTCATCATCTTCGTAAAACATTCAATCTTGTTCCATTTCGAAGTAATTTTGGTTTAGACATATACCTCAAATCGAGTACTGTGTCTCAGACTTCGAAAATCCTATTTTATTCATTCCTTATATGTAAGCATTTATTTTCGACAATTGAAACATCCAGTAAACATGTAAATTGTCTATTCACTAGTCAAATAATATGAAATAGAGAAATAAAAGAAAACTTCGAAATTAATTTTCACAAGTGATTATTGCAAAAAGAAGATCAGCACCATTCAATAGTCCCCAGTCGGGTTAGTCTATGTCCGAAAATTTTATATCCAATTGACTCTAACATTCAATATCTTTACTTTCGTCATTAGATATATCTTCATACGATCTTAAATTATACAATATTCGTTGGATATGTAAACTGTCACTTATTAACGGGAAAGAAAACTTTCGGAATCGAAATTATAAAAAGCGTGGCTCTCCATGTCTCCTCTAACTTCAAATCTATCGTTCAAGGCACGATTCAGGTGATTATCTTCTCAATATTGAGCAAACAAAATTGCGTATCTTTTCGGTTAAATTATATAGAATTCAATTGATTTTGTTATCAAAACTTCCTTGAAACGAAACACCGTCGATTGTTTATAGACATTAAAACAAATTTTGTCTTATATAACAAATCTTGTGTCCCCCCTTCTTTTGATTGCTTCAAACTATAGGTCGCTGACTATTTTCATTGTCAAGTTATTCAGTTTACATTCATTCGTCTTTAATTCTAGCGTGCAGATTAATCATTCATTAATTCTTTTTTTTATTTTTTTTTTTATTAATTTATATTTATATATAAATTAGTCTTATTTGATTCGTGTTGTTTTTTTTTAATTCATTAGATTGACTTATATTAAATCTGCTGTAACACGAAATGTAAGTGAAAAATCTATAAATTCAATTCTTGATTATATATCAACATCAAAACAAATGGATTTATTACAAAATTTCTATGAAACAACATTAGGTGCATTAAAAGAAACAAAAAATGAACGTCTTTGGTTTAAAACAAATTTAAAATTAGGTAAATTATATGAAGAACAACAAGATTATGTAAAATTACAAAAAATTCTTAAAGAATTACATAAATCATGTCAAACATCAGAAGGTAAAAAAACAAAAAAACTTATTTTTAATTATTGAAAAATTATATTTTTTTTTATTTTCAAAAGGTACTGATGATCAACGTAAAGGTACACAATTACTTGAAGTTTACGCATTAGAAATTCAAATGCATACATTACAAAAAAATACTAAAAAACTAAAACAATTATATGAATTATCATTACATATAAAAGCAGCCATACCACATCCACTTATCATGGGTTTGTTTGTTTGTTGTTGTTGTTTTTTTGAATAAAAAAATAACAAATAATTTATTTATTTAAGGTGTTATAAGAGAATGCGGTGGAAAAATGCATTTACGTGAACAAGAATATGAAAAAGCACATACAGATTTTTTTGAAGCATTTAAAAGTTATGATGAATCTGGTTCACCACGTCGTACAACATGTTTAAAATATCTTGTACTTGCTAATATGCTTATGCGTTCAACAATAAATCCATTTGATTCACAAGAAGCTAAACCATATAAAACAGATCCTGAAATACAAGCTATGACAAATCTTGTTGGTGCTTATCAAAATAATGATATTAAAGAATTTGAAACAATTTTACGTATAAATCGTCAAGCTATTATGGATGATCAATTTATTCGTGAACATATTGAAATACTTTTACGTACAATACGTACAAAAGTTCTTGTTAAATTAATAAAACCATATACAAAAATACGTATTGAATTTATTGCACAAGAATTAAATATACCTATGGATGATGTTGAAAGTTTATTAATATCATGTATACTTGATCAAACAATAACAGGAAAAATTGATCAAGTTAATCATGTACTTGAACTTGATCAACAACAAAATATACAAGGTTTACATCGTTATGCTGCTATATCAAAAGTATCAACACAATTACAAAGTGTTCAACATGCTATTCTTCAACGATTTAATTAGGTGAAAGCATACTCAAATTTTCTTTTTTTTTTTTTTTTTTTTTTTGTTTCTTCTCTTCTTTTGGAATGCCTATAAATTATATTTTTAACGACAAGAAATAAAAAAAAAAAAAAAGAAAAAGTTGTTGGAAAAAAATCTTTTGTTTTCTTATTTGTGTGTATTAGAAATTACAGGCCAAGAATGACATAGATTGTAGGATATGTTTTTTTTTTCTTGCTATTCTTCCTCGAACGCGATAAAGTACCAGAATAGGAAAAAGCAAAAATAAGGAGAAAAACAGCTTTTTACCCCCCGTTACAAAACAACCCCATTCAAACATCATTTGCTTCCTTTCCTTCTACATTACGGTCGATAATAAACATTGATTATCATATGGACAAAACAACATCAAAACAAAAGGTACTAGTTTATATGCTTGAAATATTTTTTCATAGAGTTTGTTTTAATCATGATTGTTAATTATAGAAATCTTTTCTGTTTACTTATTTATCTATTTATATGATAAATGAGTCGAAACACGATTGATTCAATTTCTAAAAAAGATCACTTATATAAAAATAGTATGTACATGGGTGCTAAAGTAGCCAAATATCTTTTTCTATGTCTATATTCGACCTTCATACGTATATTTGTTCACCATTTATTTCGTGATCATTAAATAATCCTTCTTTATATACACGTTCCTATTCTCTACATTCGTCTATCTTAATTTCGTATAACTTTCACAACAATCTAAGACATGTGGTCTTTTGTTCACGTTTTCTTTTTCCTGTTCAACATACCCTTCTATTGTTTTTGTTACTTATTAAATAATAGCATATGCATATGGTAGATACAATTAGACGTAGTTATTATTGGACGACGAATCTAAAAGAAAGAAAAGAAAAAAAAAGTAGAAAAAGAGAATGAAGAAAAAAGAAAGATTGTTGTTATCGTCGTCATCTTCATAGCATTTCATTTCATCATTATTCATCTAACAATTCTGTTGTACTCTTTGCACTGACCATATATCTGAAAAACATATTTCATAATGAACGATTGTCCATCGGAAAACTCTGCAACAGCAACAACAAATCGAGTATCTCTTCATCCACATGTTTTTAATTTACATCAATCTATGAAGGTTAGCAAAGTTTAATTTTTATTTCTTTTTATTCTTCTTAACATAGACGTAAAACAGAAAAGAAGATGTGTTAAGTGTTATGGTTATGTTAACTGGACGTGTGTGTGTGTGTGTGTTTTTCTTTTAATTAATAACAAATATATATTTATTAAAATTATTCAATTCTCTAGATTTCAATCGTTACCTTTTTTCTTCTCTCTGTCTCTCTCTCTCTCTCTCTCTTGATTTCTTATATATACATTATCAGTTTGTTTGTCTGTAAATAATGAGTTTGAAACGACCTAATGAAAGTGGAAGTCTTGTACCAATTGGTCCTCAACCACCATATAAACAAGCTCGTACAAATGAAAATACTCAACAAATTATTTCAACTCAGCCACGTACATCAAAATTAGCAGCACCAATTATGTTATTACAAGGACATGAAGGTGAAGTATTTTCTTGTAAATTTCATGCTGATGGAGAAATTATGGCATCAGCTGGATTCGACAGAAAAATTTTTTTATGGAATGTTTATGATCAATGTTATAATTGGTATGTTTTAACGGGACATGGTGGTGCTATTATGGAAATACAATGGAGTCCAGATGGTAGTGAACTTGCTTCATGTTCTACTGGTTCGTAAAAAAATAAAAATTTATTTAAATATAAATTTCTTTTCAAATTTTTATATAGATAAATTAGCTTATATATGGGATATAACAACATGTCAACGTGTTAAAAAATTAAAAGGACATCAATCATTTGTTAATTCAATTGGTTATTCACGTATAGGTAAAGATATGATATGTACAGGTTCAGATGATGGTACAGTTAAAATTTGGGATAGACGTAAACGTGGTGAAGTTATGACATTTGAATCAACATATCAAGTTTTAACATGTTGTTTTAATGCATCATCAGATGCTATATTTTCTGGTGGTATTGATAATACAATTAAAATGTGGGATTTACGTAAACAAGATATAACTTTACGTCTTGATGGTCATCTTGATAGTCCAACAGGTCTTGAATTAAGTTATGATGGATCATATTTAGCATCAAATTCAATGGATTCAACAGTACGTATTTGGGATATACGACCATATTTTAATGGTGTTGATCGTTGTATTAAATTATTACAAGGACATCAACATAATTTTGAAAAAAATCTTTTACGTGTTGCATGGTCACCTGATGGAAAACGTATATCATGTGGAAGTGCTGATAAACATGTTTATATTTGGGATATTGCAACAAGAAAAATGCTTTATCGTTTACCTGGTCATCTTGGTAGTGTTAATGAAGTAGATTTTCATCCAATTGAACCAATTATTGCATCAGGTTCATCAGATAAGACTGTCTTTCTTGGAGAAATTGAACCTTAAAGAAAATAATTTCAAAAAAAAAAAAAAAAATAGATGTTTTTTTTGTTTCTCTTCTTGAACTGTTTCAAATCTGTACGCACTTAAAAACTGTACAGAATATTTGATTGTTTTCTCTTCTTTAATGTTATTATTGTCTTTTCTGTGTGTCTGTACTCTCGTATAGAAAATACAATTGTCTAACAAATGTATATGCTTATGTGTAAGAGAGAAATAAGAGATTGTCTTTGTCTTGTTCAATAGGAAAATAAGGTTAAGTTAACGATTAATATCTCATATAAGTTTAAACAAGAAAACATTCCTATAAAGAAAGAAAAAAAAAACTTTTAATTTAGATGAACTTTCGGGGTCAACTCAAAGAAGAACTCCAACAAAGGGATCCTAATGGTCGGGCACATTATGCACATCAATCATTTGCTGAAACAGCTGTCAATGGTCTTGAACAACGTACATTACTCGATATTGATTCCGATCCGTAAATATAAAATTTTTGCTTTTATCTATTTTATTTTGAATTATTTTACTTTTATTTTAAATACCTAGATCGAGTACATGTCATACAAGTATTATTTGTACCTTAGGTATATTTCATATTTAATCTATTATGATAAATAATATATTGAATTATTTACATTTCTAGGACCAGCATCACAAAGTGTTGAAATGCTTTCAAAAATGATCAAAGCAGGAATGAATATAGCTCGACTAAATTTTTCACATGGATCATATGAAGTGAATAAAAAGATGAAAAATTTATTTGATTTTTTTTTTTTTTTTATTTGATTTAGTATCATAAAAAAAGTATTGAAAATGTTCGTATGGCTGAAAATTTAACAGCAGGAGAAAGTGAATATCGACCTATTGGAATTGCATTAGATACTAAAGGTCCAGAAATTCGAACAGGCATTTTAGCTTCAGTAAGATTTTAAATTTTATTGAAAGAAATAAAATGAATTTGTCGTTTTTCAAGGGTGTTAATAGTGAAATTGATTTACAAAATGGTATGGCTGTTCGTATAACAACAGATAAAAGCTTTGCAGACAAATCATCAACAGATAATTTATATGTTGATTATGATAATATAGTTCATGTTATTAAATCAGGAAATCGAGTTTTTATTGATGATGGTCTTATTTCATTACTTGTTCGAGAAGTCGGTTAGTAAAAATTAAATTTTTCAATTTTATTTTAATTTTTGTATTTACAGGAGATAATTATCTTCAATGTGAAGTTGAAAATGGTGGTTTATTAGGTAGTCGTAAAGGTGTTAATTTACCAGGTGTACCAATTGATTTACCTGCTATATCAGAAAAAGATAAAGCAGATCTTTTATTTGCTGTTGAAAATGATGTAAGAAAATTAATTTTTATGAAATTTTATTTCATAAAAAATTTTCTGTTTTGTCTAGATCGATATGGTTTTTGCAAGTTTTATACGTCATGCTGATGGTATTCGTGTCATTCGAGATATTCTTGGTGAAAAAGGAAAAAATATCAAAGTAATTGCAAAAATTGAAAATCAACAAGGAATTCAAAAGTATAAAATAAAATGATCAAACAAAATAAGAAAAATTAATTTGAAATTTTTTTTTTTCTTCATAAAGTTTTGATTCAATTCTTGAAGAAGCTGATGGTATTATGGTTGCACGTGGTGATATGGGTATTGAAATTCCTGCACAAAAGGTTTTTGTTGCACAAAAAATGATGATTGCTAAATGTAATATAGCTGGTAAATCTGTTATTTGTGCAACACAGGTATAAATTTGAAATTTCCAAAAAAAAAAAAAAAACATCAAAAAATTTTATATTGATTATTAAGATGTTAGAAAGTATGACAAAAAATCCTCGTCCAACTCGTGCTGAAGTTAGTGATGTAGCTAATGCAGTTTTGGATAATGCTGATTGTATTATGTTATCCGGTGAAACAGCAAAAGGCAAATATCCTGTACAATGTATTCAACTAATGCATCAGGTTTATTTAAAATGATAACAAAAAAAAAAAATTAAATAAATAATTTTATAAATTTAATTAAGATTGCTCGAGAAGCTGAAGCTTGTATATTTTATCGAGAACTTTTTGAAAATCTTAGATATTTTACTAAACCACCATTGGTAAAATCATTTTTTTGTTTTTTTTTTTCGTTGAAGAAATTCAATCGAAATTTAATTATATTTAGGATCAAATGCACGCAGCTGCTATTGCTTCTGTTGAAGCAGCTTTTAGAAGTTATGCTACACTTATTGTTGTATTAACACATTCAGGACGGTAAGAATAAAATTTTTTTTTGTCTTTAAAAAAAGAACATACAAAGAAAGAAATTTATCTCGATCATATTTTTACATGAACTTAAAATATTGTACGAAAAGTTCGAATGTATTTTTTCGTTTTAATTCCTTTTTCATAACATTTAACTGAGTGCATATAAGTTATATCTGTTAAAGATTTTAATAGACTAATCTTTCTTCAGTGTTTATAATTAATATAACAATAAAATTTTATTTATTAGAGTTACATAGTAAGAATTAAATTAAAACAAAAAAACAAATGTATTAAGAATAGTTACATATTTTTATTTACAATAGAATCAACCATATGTACATAATTTTAAACATATAGCATAGAGAAGATAAATTTAGTGTACTTATATTTGATTTCTTGTGAAAATGTATGTACGTGTTATTTTTTGGATAAGAAACCTACTTAGACAATAGAATGTAGATGAATCATTTCGTAGAAAAGAAAATCATGTGTATATATACATAAATAAAATAAGAAAAGTAACAAAGAAATCTATTTATCTAGACAATTAATTGGACAAAAAAAAAAGACATTTTCATTCGAATAGATAGGTTATCATGAAAAACAATGTGATATGACACTGGGAAATATAATTTATGTAGAAAACAAAAATAAAACTGAAAACTATAATCTTTATTCGAGAATTATTTTTTTTAATGCATATACAAAAACAATTTTATTTATCATATATAAATCAATAAAAAAAAAAGAAATTAATGATAAGTGTTAAACAAATAGATGAGTAAATTTAATCGAAGTGTTTACTATACATGATGTCAATTAAAATGATAAGATATTATCTTTCATGTCTAGAAAAAAAGAAAATATGATACAATAAATAACACGATCTAACGTCAATTTTGATAAGATAGAACATAATTTTCTAAAGACATTAAAATAACTACATACAAACTAAAGATAAGACATAAATATTTTTTATCATGAAACATGTTTCATTAATACTCATCTATCAAAGATAGATTTACAATATATATTTCAAAATAAAAAGAAGACATGATTAGTTATGACAATTTTAAAAAATCTTCACATTTCATAAATTTCGTTTTGTTATAAATCGTAAAACTTATAAAATTTCAAATATAGTCTAACAATCAAATTAAATATTTAAGACTCATTAATAAAGCTGACCGAATTCAATATATCAAATGAAAGGTCATTCTTTTCACTATCGAATGATATATAGGAATATGACAAAATTTTTTGACATATTTTGGAGAGGAATCAGAGCTGAATTTTTCGAGAAAAATAAAAATTGATGAATCATTTTGCAACATACTTTTTCATGCTGATTTCAAATATACCATTTATTTCGATAGAAAATCGAACTATTAAGGTCAAATATTAGCCAAAACGAGCAATTTTTAGCACTCTCGAACGTTGTGGATTTGAGGAAAGTGCCTTCAGGGGTGGAACCGGTTGAGAAATATTAAAACGGTCCGGTCCGGCCGGTTGAAAAATCCTACCGGTCCGGTCCGGCCGGAAACCGGCCGGTTGGAATCACATGTCCAACCGGTGAAATTCCGGTGAAAATCGGTTAAAAACCGGTGAAAAAATGTCGAATTTTTTTTTGAAAACCTATTTTTAGAAAAAATGGCTCCAAATATGAAATAGTTTAAGGCGCATGTAAAAGGCACTCATCATAATAAATCTTTTTAAAGAGAACCTCAGAAAAAACGATTAATATAACATATATTTTGAGTACTTTTTCACGTATTCTGACAGAAAAAACATGTGATACCTTAGTTTTTATGGTCAAAAACAGGGTTAACAAAGAAGATTTCTGAAAACTTTCAACCGGTAAAATTCCGGTCTTTACCGGCCCGGTCGATTTCTTCAACCGGTCCGGTCCGGTCCGGTACCGGTCCGGCCGGACCGGTACCGGTTTGCCGGACCGGTTCCAACCCTGAGTGCCTTACCCACAAGTTAAGTTTGGTGTAAGTATGTAATTCAAAGTGAATCACTACTTTTATAACATTATAGAAGAGAAATTTCGTCATGAGTACCCTTATACTATAAATACCAGTGAATAATGCCATCCAAAGAAAAACGAAAAAGAATATTTTGTCATATTCCTATATGTCATTTGATTGAATTCTTCATTCCTTCTTTTCTTTTTGTACGAGTCATTTCATAAATTGTATTAATATTAACTCATTTTTTCTTTGTCCTATAGATCAGCTCAGCTTATTGCTCAATATCGTCCTCGAGCAGTTATTATGGTTGTAACAAGATCTTTAAAAACAGCTCGATTTATGCATTTATATCGTGGTTGTTGTCCGGTTTATGTTATGGGTAAATTATATCTTTCAAAATTTTTTATCTTTATTTATTTATTATTTTCTCTTTTTAGCTGGACGAAGTAAGTTATATACAAAAAAAGGAATAAAATTTATACAAAGAAACTACATTTGACTTTTCTTCTTTTTCAAATAGAACCGGATCCGCAGTCGCCACTTCCCAGTGAAGGTAAAAAAAAATGAAAAAAACTCGATACTTATGTGTTATTTGATATTTTATTGTTTTTTTTTAGCTTACGATGAAAAGGCTTTCTGTAATATGATAAATTTTTTGAAAAAATTTTTTGATTGTTTTGTTTTTTCTTCTGTAGATCGTCCAGAGGATTCAAAAGATGGAGAACCTGTATTCAAACAACATCATATGTCAACACAACAAGCAATGGCTAT